AATTATCTATTCCTTGAATATTTAAAGAAATTCCATTAAAACCAGCTAGGACTGATGCCATGTTGTGGGAGGGCTACATTTGCATTTTTTAAAGTTTCTAATACATTTTATAGGACATAAGAGAGACAAAACCATCCAGTTAATTCAGTCATTTAATAAACATCATATGCCAGGCACTGCGCAGTGTTGGGGATACTGAGATAAGACATATCCTTTGCTTCCTAGTTTCTTGGGAATTTATTTTGATTGAATAAACCAGCAAATATTCTGATATTAAATAATGATTAAACTGGCAAAATAATCTGAGTTTAAGTTTTTTGACAAGTCCTTCTTTTGGTGTTATCACTTACTTAAGCCAGTTCTGAAAGGCTGATTGCTATAATCTCAAAATGAGTCATTGATTAGCTTTCTGAGTTCCCATTATGGGGGGGGGGGGGGGAAGAAGGGGATAAGCAAAAGCAATGTCCTTTCATTAATCTGGCCTCAGCGAGCACTCATCACCATTTCCACCCACCTCAGTTCATCTAGAGCCCCTACCTGGGTCTGCAAATCCCATTTATTAGTCATAAATTGTCATTGATTTATCTTCTCTGGGGTCCAGCTTCTGTTTTTGTGTTTTTTCCCTCTTTGTATACAGCCAATAGCTCTTCATGGAAGGAGGGGTCCTTAGGGGTCACAAATCTCACTCCTCAATTTACAAATGAGAAGAGGAAACAAGACCCAGAGAAGTGAAGGCGTTTGCCCAGAATCGCATAGCTAATGTGAGAACTGGGTGAACCCAGGTGGTTCAGCTCTCAGTCTCGGGCTCTCTTGGTGCCGGTTGTCTCAGCCTGATCCTCTCCATCCTCTGAAGACTGTCCTTCCTCCACCAGAGTCCTCTTCAGAGGACAGGCATTTGGCGAATTTCAAAAAGCTTTATAGAAAGCACCTGCCAATCACCACAAAAGATGGGCTGTCTTTGATTTTACTTTTAATCATTCTTATTATCATGTGAAATGGAAGGCTTCTTTGCATTTATTTATTTCCATTAATAAGGAAGAGTTTGGCTCATGATGACAGATACTTTCTTCAGTCCTCCAACCATAGCCTGTGTCTAGGCTGGAAGAAACAAGAGTCAGAAACAAACCTCTGTTTATTTCAAGACTGTCATAAACAAGGAAGGCCATCTTGTCCTTAGTATCCATCACTTAGGTCATCATTATAATCACTTCACAGTCTTTAATTTGGTGATAGCCTATGAAAACTAGTTTAAGAGTGATTTCTATGAAAAGATTTATAAATGTAAATGGTAAACGTACAGATTTATAAAATACAAGTGGTAAGATTTTGTAGTGGGTTTTGTCAACCAAAGTTTTAACAAATGCCCAGAAATTTAAAAAAATATCACATTATTAGAAAAACCTACAGAAATACTGTTTTAAAAATACAAGATGGGTCTATCTAATATATTTCCTTTTTACCTCAATGCCAGCTGAAAGATCCACTAAATTTGTTGGTTACCTATCATTTGTAGCTAATTTTTAAATGGAACTAAGTTCTGAACTACACATTTTTTCTTTCAAAGACAATGCCTCTCTCCCTACAACTTTCGAGAGTAGTGTTTTGCTAATAATAACAGTTCTGCTGCCCACTCCTCTGAGCTCAGGAATTGAAATGACGGTAGTCGTTTGTCCATTCCCTACCCGAACCAGAAACTTTCCTACAGTAGCCCTCTCACTTCTACCAGGATCTGTCAGTCACAGAAAATTAACTTTCTTTAAATGACCTATCTATTCTGCTGACGAAAAGCTCTGAAGGAAAGTTGGCTCCAAGTTCTGTTATTTACGGTTTACCTTTTATCAAAATACAGGCCCTCTATAAATGCACATAATAGAATTTACCCTTAATAATAAGAATAAATTCTAATACCTGAGGCAGGGTGACAGAGCAGAAAGTTCTTAATTTTGTAAACAAACATTTCAAATCCTGGCTCTGCAATACCACTTAATTATGTATGGAACTTTGAACAAGTTATCTGAGTCTTGCTTTGCTTAAATATTTAGAGCTATTGTGAGACTTAAATGGGTTCATGAGTATAAAGCATCTAGCAAGAACATCTGTACTTACTAGGAAGTATTCAACAAATATTTGCTATATATGCTGGTCTAATGAAGATTTTTAAAAATAATATTCTGCCAAAATGAATATTCCAGGTGTGCAAGTAGGTGGACTTATAAATCTAAAATTGAGATTATTTTGGAAACAGAGGCAATCTTAGATAGGGAAGCCAGAAAGGGCTGGAACAGCTACCCCAATTCTGCATTTTACAGATTAAAGATGTAAAGTCAAAGAAACAAGTTATTTCCTCTACCCACATTCAGCCCCCTTTAGCTTTTGTGATTAATTGGTGGAGCAGAAAATGGAAATGAAAAATATATCAATGTGCCTGACTTTAAAAAGTCACATTAAGAGTCCATTCATCCCGAAAAGTGAGGGAAAGTGATCTAGACATGCAAACATTCTCATCTCATCTGCCATACCAAATTAAGGCTAATTATGTCTCTAAAGATCTTTGAACAATAGTGCTTTTATATGGGGGATTAATATTAGACTTTTCTGAAATTTCTTCATTATTCTTAATGACACAGACCCACGCTTATGGGCTCCCTGATGTTTGATGAATGTCGGGACCCGATTGTGAACTGAAAATTGTCAACATAAACTTAGAAAACAAAGATCACACTAGATGAGTATAAAAGTTCAGTGCCATATAGCAAATGGTGCAGTTTATGAAACATGTTGCTTTTGAATGTACTAATAAGATATCACTATAAAATGGGCATAGAGAAACACAATTATTGTAGTTAAATTATTACAGCTTGATTTCTGCTGTGTATAATGGATGTTTTCATAAAAATACAAGATATTTTCTCCAGCTAATTAACAGAAGGTAGAATTGTAGCCATGTTGCAAATAACTCTCCATTGGCGAATATTTATCCTAAACGATGTTTAGATCATATACTCCCTGTTTACCTATTGAGGAAATTACAGCTTAAGAGGGACATTTTTAAAATTTGCTATTTTCCTGAGAGGAGCATTAACTACATTGTTCAATCATTTAAAAAAATGCCTATGTATTTACCTGATATTAGTAAAGTAACAGGAAATGATGCCCATCCTTCCTTTAGTATAAGTAGTAGTGTTCTATTAATTGGCAAAGTTTTACCCTTTAGGTTAGAATATGGGGAGCGTGTGAAGTCTTTCCCTGACTCCTAATAATAGCCAGATAGGAGGTGAAACAGCCATACGAGCAGCTCCTTGGGCAACTCAAGGGAAGAGGTTCTGGAGAGAGCTTATCAGGATGGGAGTTCAGGTGCCTTCCCCAAAGACCACTGCAGAGCTCTGGAGCAGCAGGCAGCCACCCGACCCCAGAGTCCAGCAGCTGCTGCTAAGCACAGGCTGCCTCTTCCTTCCGAGCAACCCATCCACGGCTGAACTCCAAGTCAGGAAATGTTTCTCAGCAAGGTGATGATCAGATCCAAAATCATCACCACTTAGCTGTGAGCAGCCAAGGGCTGAACCCTCCCAGAACGTGTTACAAAACACTCACCCTAACGAAACCCCCAATTGGTGATGGGAAAGCAAGTGTGTGTGTGGAAGGGAGTGGTGCAAAAGTCACGAGAGGCTCTGCGTCGAGCCCCTGGAGGCTTCTCGCTGCTTCCTCACATCTCCACCTGAAAAGAAAATGAGCCACATACGCTCGCCTCTCATTTTCTATGAAATAATTCGGTATGTACAATAATTTCAGGGATGTTCTTATTTTCAAAATGTCTGGTCTTGATTGGCTCCATCCATTCTGAACCAACCTTTACTTGTATCTTTGGGGCTTCCATTTCAGATGAGAAAGGCAGAGCATGGAGAATAATATACTCTTGAAATATGTGAAACCGGGTCCCAACAGAGAATTGAAGCCCTACGGAGCTACAGCTAGTAAATTCCCACAACCAAAAAGGCAGCTATAAGTCATGTTGAACTGAGGAATTCAGCCTTAAGGCATTCTATATTGTACTTGAAATAGAAGTGATTTTAAACAATCTTCTGGGTTTCAGAAGGACAGAAGGTTAGTAATTCAATGATTTGCTTAAGTTTCAGACAAGGAGAGGTATCAAACTATTCCTATAAAATATAAATATAAAAGGTTTCACCCTATTTCCGCCCACCTTCAACAATGTCTGACCTAAGAGTCTTAGGATTATGGTACTGATAGCAAATTCCAGGAATTAAACAAACAAGCAAAAAGTTTTAAAATTACTAGGTCCCAGAGGCCTCTGGACTTTTTTATGAAGCTTAACCAAAAATTTAGAGTTTCTTCACTAGGACTAGAGGTGACAAAGGGAAAAAAACGTGCCAAGAGGATCACTCAAACTAGGGTCTTATCCCACTTGTAATGAAATTTTGTCTGCAAACACAGCATTTACCTATTGTTAATGTTGCTAATTGTATTTGAGATGCCAATTCAAGCACAGTTTTGGCAGTTTATAGTTGACTTTATTTTTTCTGTTTTTTCTTTTTTTTTTAGCAACAAATAGCAACAGCTGTTTGAATATGCTTGCTACTTCAGTGGCTTCTACAAGTTCTTTTAACCTGTGAAGTTTAACATAATGGTCAAAGTATAATAAACTTTAACAGAATTTATCAAGTGTATATTTATTAGTCATAAAGATTATGATATTCTTGTGAATTAATCAAATTAGACAGTATAAACCAGCTCTTATATAAACTATATAGATATCCTGGACACCTATCCCAGAAAGAAAAGAGACAGACAACAAGTGAAATAGTTTAAATACACTGAAATAGTTTGGTATACCAGTTTAAATATTTTGATAAGTTGAACGAAATCCAAATTGGCTAAAAGAACTAAGTGTTGACTCATTTAACTAGAAAGTCCAGTGGGAGGAGTGGTCTCAGATTTGGGAGGAGAGGGTGGCATCTGGTGGCTCATGTTTTTCTTTCCCATTTCTCCATCATCGTGCCACCCAATGTTAGTTTCATCCTAAAGCTAGCTCTGCTCATGATTATGTGACAGCTGTCAGTAGCAATAGAGGCTAAGTGCTTCATCTTCCATTTCCAGAGTGCCTGCTGCCCAGCATTCCAAGCTAGAATCCTGAGCATGGCCGTCATTGGAGCAGCTTACACCATATGCCCAATCCCTAATTAATGACTGTGGCCAGGGAAATGGTTATGAAACCTGGCTTACACCAATCAGGATGCACAACTGGAACTGAGGGTGAAGTCATTTCCCAAGGAGGACACAGATTATGTGGAGGATAGGCAGATACTAGTAGGAAAATTGGGAAAAGGGAAGAATGAATACTGGATGTTCACTACATGGAGATCTGGCCTAAAAGACCAGAGCAACCCCAGGGCTATATTTACTGAAAATTACTATTGGTATTACTAATCAAAAAAGTAGTTTCCAGATTACAAACTCATAACAGCAACAACAAAATTCCAAGGCCAGTATGTTTCTTTTATTATTATTTTTGTGTTTGACTTAAGATGGTTGAATGATTTCATTTTCATTTATAAGCATTACATTAATTCCCATGCAATAACCCAAGATCGCATATGCCTGATTTCAATTGGCCAAAATCCAACCTGTGAGTCTGGACATTCAAGATCCAAATCAAAATGTTGCTTGACCTTCCCAATAGTAGACATCATGGGCATCATTTGAGTTATCGGCAGGCCCCCGATCTCTCAAACACCACAGTTTGCCATGAGTCTGTACCAAAACAGGGAGCCAATGCCTGGTGGCACCTAAGCCTGGCAAGTAAATTCATTCATGAAGACAGGACAGATCCACACCAAGGCCCATCCACAGATATGTTCTGGTTCCTGCTCTATAGCAAAACCTGCCTTTGAACAGGCATGGTATCTTCTATTGGGCGATTCTAAGTTCTTCCTGCCAGTTTTCCTCAAAACTCTCAGTAGAAGCAAAGAGACTTTACAAAAAAGCTTACTTCTATAACCCCAAAAGAAATAAACACAAACACACCTACTCTATCAAGTATATATTTTCCCCAGCTTCTGATGAAGTCACTTAGCAGGTTTAAAGCTTAAAAAACTTCTCTCAGTAAGACAGGAACCAGGAATATCTAAGAGGGCAAAACAGGACCCCACAATTAAAGGAGAACTAAACAAGTGCAAAGAATCATTCTATTGATTGAGAGAAATGGGCTAAATGAAAAAATGACAACATTTCAACAGTGGATGTCAATTTATATTGAAACACATACATTGGAACTCTGACAATGGCAAAGATTTCATTAGTGCAAATAACAATTATAATGGTATGTTCTTTAATAGGATTTAAATAAGGCTTCAAATCATTACACACGCTAAAACTACCATTTGGAAACCTTAATTCTGTTTGGAAAGTTGTCAAACGCACCGTCCAAACCATCTGAAGTTCTGAGTTGAGGACAATTACATTCAATGAAGTTGCTCCAAAACACACTTTGTAGCATTATGACTTTCAAAGTCTACGTTGTTTGGTGGAAAGGGGTAAAAATGCTCTGGGCACTGGTCAAAAGAAAGAAATCCAGCTAACATACCAGGTAGTTCTTAGGTTCAGATGATTCTCAAATATCTGTAGTGATGACAGCTCACTACAAAAATAAGGACAAAAAACAAAACAAAAAACAGTAGAATCTTGAAGTGTCAGAGATTCATTTCCCGATCCTCATTAACAAATTTGCACAAAGTATGAAACAGAAAAAAAGAAGAGAATTCATGGGCATTTCCATCTATGGCTCAAGTTCTCCTTAAAAAGCAAAAACAAAAACAAACTTTGTGACAATAACTACAAAAAGTAAACGACAAAACCAGAGGCAGAATATGAAATAGTAATATACTGTTTCAGAGCCTGCAGAACCAGGAAACTTAAAAGGTGTTCTTAACAGATCCAATCTAGGCTGGATACGTAAAAAACGGAAAGACAGCGTCACAAACCACACGAGACTTTATGAGAGTTTCAGAACCAGGAAAAAAAACAAAAGGCAGTAAAACGCTCAGAAAAATTTATCATCAATTCTGAAATGAGGCCTTGTGACATCATCAGGGTTAATAAAGACAGAGATGGACTTCCCCGGGTTCTCAGTCACTAGCTGCTGCAGTTTTTTGGCCAAACGGTCGTCAGGCTGGTTGGGGTCCCCTCCGTCGGACTGCGGGGAGGGGATGCTGGTGGTGCTCCCTCGCCTCTGGAGCTCCAGCGTCAGCCTGTTGGCTGCCTTGACGTGCTCAATGGCGGTACGCAAGTGCTCGGCCGGGTCTGAGCGGACCGAGGAGAGCTTCCGCGCGTGGAGCATGACCGTCTCCTCTGACAGGTGCTCCAGCATGTTGCACTGAGGGATGAAATAATTGGGGCACATCTTGTTGACCAGACAGTGCTGAAGGTCATCGATGAGGCCCAGCAAAAAGTGGGCTGCATAGTCTTCTTGAGCCAAGTAGTTGGCAGGAAGTCTGTCGCAGGCCCAGAGCATCATGCTGCGCAGGTGATAGGGACTGATAGCCTTAGGCCGGGACAGGAGTTTAATGATGATGGCTTTGCAGGCCTGGTAGGCCTGCATGAGGCTGCTAGAGATGCACTTCTTCAACTGCACCTCGCTCCTGGCAAAGGACAGCCGCCATTCGTTGTCCTTCTTACCCTTGTAGGAGCAAGCAGGCACCAAGTAAAACCCACTGATGACCTCTTCCTCGGTGATCTTCCCATCCCAAAAGTGGTTCTCCATGAGCCAGCTCTGAGCCACTGCGGGCCAACCTTTAAAAGACACCACAGGGACAATATCGTACAACATGCGACTGCTCCCCACACCCAGAATGATGGAGATGATGGTCCCATTCTTTTCTACCTTTTCCACCTTTGGCATCCCTCGCTGGGGTTTCTTCTGTATCTCTGATAGGACAATGCTGATGGAGTCATAGAACCAGTCAGCCACTTTGGTTGGGGAGAAGAAGTAGTTGGTGGCACCATTGATGTGATCTACAATCGTGCAGCAGTCTTTCCATTTACTGATCGTCCCCTCATCAAAGAGCCTAAGGCTCAGCCAAGAGTGACACAAGGCTGAGTGGCGCATATCAAGTGTCACAGGCTGATTACGGTCATGTAGCTTAAGGGCTGGCACCAGAAGGGTAAAGTCCATATCATAGTCGGTCCCCCGGGCATAGACATTAAGCTCATCTAAGTCCAGGTCCACCACGCCTTCCCGGACTCCTCCAGAGAGCAACAGGTACTCATTGGCCACTGGAAGTTTTTGGTCCAGCTTTTGCACCATTCCTAGAAACAGAAAGAGAAAACATTATTACAGGAAGCACAGACATCAGAGTCTTAGGCATCAACATAGCATGTGCTGAGTTTCCAAGAGCCACTATTCATTACCAGTACAAAACCAGATCATAGGCTGCTGCACAGACACAGCTAAGGGTACTTTGTTCTTTCTCATCAGCTCTAGAATCATCCTTTTCCCAGTGGGAGAATTACGATAGATTTTCCTCTCACAGTGAAAGCAGTATCATTTTCAATCATAAACCAGGGCTTCTCTTACCCCAGTCATCACCTCAGTTTACGCTATTGCAGTCCACTCAGTCACCCAGGCTCAAAACCTCAGCAGGCTTAACTCCTCCTTGCCTTTCTACTGCAACTCTTATCTAATAACCTCTGCAACATTTCTCACTCCTTCCTGTTCTCCACCTCTGCGGCCATCATATAAAGCCAGGCGCGTTTCATCTCTTGCCAAAGCAGTCTCCTTCTCCAGGTCCTCCCTGCTTAAAGCTTCTTCAACACAGTGATTCTCAACGTGGACACTGCAAGTGGGACACTGTCAGGGGGCAGTGAGGTCATAACTCTTTTCATAATAATACTAATGCATTATTTGCCTTTTCACTGTGTTGACACTTGATCTGACACTTGATGGTACAAAAGCAATGGAGGGCAAATCTGTTGGTGCCTTAGCTTCAGTCGAGACAGTGGCACCAGACTATACTTACTAGCAGTCATTGGATTTTTTTTTTTTTTTTAGGAAGATTAGCCCTGAGCTAACATCTGCTGCCAATCCTCCTCTTTTTGCTGAAGAAGACTGGCCCTGAGCTAATATCGTGCCCATCTTCCTCTACTTTATATGTGGAACGCCTGCCACAGCATGGCTTGCCAAGTGGTGTGTAGGTCTGCAACTGGCATCCGAACCGGCAAACTCCAGGCTGCCAAAGTGGAACGTGCAAACTTAACTGCTTTGCCACGGGGCCAACCCCTACTGGATTCTTTACTACTGACATGCACTAGCATTAAAAAAAAAAAAAAATCAAGTTTCACTTAGGAAAATCCTTAATGGAAAATAAAAAATGGATTAATTTTATTAAATCCCAACTCTTGAACCATCTTTTTAATATTCTGTGACGAAATGGGAAGTAACCATAAAGCACTTCTGCCTCACATGAAATACAAACACTGTCGGCAAGAAACGCATTCATGGGATCGTTTGAGTTGTGAGCTAAATTCACTGCTTTGTTCATGGAACATCATTTTTATTTTAAAGAACGACTGATAGACTATGGCTATTCGGACTTGGGTATTTGACAGACATTTTCTTGAAAAAATGAACAAAATGAGACTGTCTTCGAGAAAACAACTGAAAATATTTATTGCCAATGATAAAACTGGAACTTTCAAGAAAAAATTAGAGAAAACTCATCTCCTGCAGCATGAACTTTAACATCTTCCCAAACTTAATACTTTTCTGATGCGATTGGTAGTGATATTACGAAGGTGAATTTTTTGATGAGATTGTGAGCTCTTTGAGGATAAAAACCAAGTCTTGAATAGGTATGAAGTAGGCATAAGAGTCTGCACCCAGTAGGCACACAAGTGAAGCTATGACTGAATGATAAAGTAAGGAATAGATGGAATTAATAGGGCTTAAACATGAAGTACTTAATTAAAGGCCTGACATAAATGTTCCACGAACGACACACAAATTTACTCTCCCCGTCTCCCGCATTTTAATTATATATTCACTTGCCCTTCAATATCTGACAAACTACCAGCATCACTCTGAGACTTATTAACAACTTCCCCCCAAAGAGGCCAAAGAACTGTGATCCCATTATTCATTGCAATTACTTTGACTCAACACAGTTTGTTATCCACAGGACAATCCCAATGCAAATAAATAAACCGGGGAGTGTAAGTGTCCGTGCTACCATTATGTTTCAGAATTTAACACTCATTTATAAAATGTATTCTTTTTCATTCTTTAAAATTCTATTTTCTAAACATACTAACCTTGAAAAGGTCTTTTATTTAGTACCATTTCCTTCCATACAGATAGGAACATAGCAAGCTATCACTTTTGTTTCAAAGCAATTGATGAGTTATCTAACATTAAAGGGTCAACAATTCATCAGAAAAGAGAAGCCAGTGTACCTGACTTTTGAGGCTGTTTCTCACACTACCTGTGCCGTGATGGTCCACCTAGATCCTTCTTCAGTAAAGGTCTTCTTGTCTCAGCTGCTGAGAGTGATGTGAGAACAGTCCCTTAAGGATTGTCTTGGCTGCAAAGAGCCACCTCAACCAAGGTAATGTTTCATGGTTGAGGTGCTATGGGGTGGGGGGTGCACATTCAGTAACAGATCCCTGTGAGAATGCCCCAGTTCAGGATACTCTGAAGATCCCAGAGGGGTCAGCTGAGGCTGACACTGGGCCTACAAGGAAACCTGACTTTTCCCTCTGCCTCATCCTTCTTCCACAGGTGCTGATCCCCAGGGTACGTCTTAATAAATATCCTAACTCCATTTCAGTGGTTGCCTCCTGGGGAAGCCAATCTAAGACACTACATACTACCCAGGCAAAAACAGCCTTCACTACAAATTCAGCATGGAAAATTTATTTTCCTTTTTAAAAGTGGTTTTTTAAAAGCCAAAGTTAGCAACCAGGATTGAAAGTTATCAAAAAAACCAAGACAAAGATTCATTTCTCAATTGTCATCATGTTCAGTATTAACTTCATCTTTACAAAGTAACAAATACCACCACCCCAAGTTTTAGCTATAGTTATAAAAGATTGACTTCTCAGAATGCAGAGTAAGTTGTGAAAATCATCTTCACTATTTTATAGACTCACGTGTAGGTATAGTTACTTTCAAAGAGAAACATTTCATAATGACATAATTTACTCATTATTTCAAATACTCTTTCACTCTAGCATTTGGAGTGCCATAAATACACATGGGAAAAATGGTGAAATGCTGCGCTGTGATTAGTAAATAAGATCTGAACTGATTAGAGGTGGTGTTGTTATCTGCATAACATATTGTTGTCCCCTCTTAGGCATAAATAACTCAAAATTCTATACATGCTTTTGCCCTACACAGGATCAAAGCGGCTCTGAGCACACTATCTCAGACTTGTCTACACCACCAGAATAGCTTGAGCATTAATAGCCTGGGAATAATTTGTTTACAAACGTGCCACTGAATTTTGCCTTGGGATTGTTACAATTTTCTTTGGATAGTTCTAGGTGAGAAAAAAATTAAAACTCCCTTTTGCCCTCTGCTGGATTAAAGAAGAAGTTTTAATGTATTTTCACTAGTTAGTATATATACTAGCATACTCCTCTTTCCTCCCAATTACTGCTTATGTACCCAGTTAAAATGCTGGCCCTTCTTTCAAAAGAGCCATGTCGAGTATTTGGCTAAATTCTAATACTCAGGAGTTAGAGTCATTTTGCACTCTTCTTATTCCTTTAAAGCGCAGAGAGAACTTCAGCAGCAGACAGAATATTGCTGAGGCTCGTTTGCTAAGCTCCTAGAAGTTAGAAACCAAGTCCCTAAGGCCACATTGATCCGGAAGCTAACCCCCTGTGACATCCACAGTTACATTTAGCCTGCCTGAGCCCATTAGTCTGCAGTTTTACAAATGATTTGGTAACACAAACTGGAGCCTGCCCCAGCATTATACAAACTCAAACGCCCTCCTTGAAAACTTTCCTGGGCTAAGTGTAAGTGAAAATGAGCTGACATCAGCTATCATGGCAGATGGGTTGCCATGCAACTAAAGCACAGCCAGGGGCTGAGAAGGAAAAAGACAGAGGAGGGGAAAAACTTCAACTGTATACTTTGGCTGTAGGCATCAGTGCCAACAAGTACCATCTCTGAATTAATCCGAGGGTTTTTGTGCAATTACAGGAGGGTAAGACCAAGTGATTTTGGCTGTCTATTTTTAAATTATCCAAAGCCAGAGTGGGAACAAAAGGAAGATGAGCACACACACCACTGAAGTTATTAGCAGCAAAGAAAAGGAGGGCTGGAGAGGCAGCTTGTTCCCCTGGGTGGGTCTCTTCTTTTCCTGGAAGGCTCGGCATATGTTTGCTCCTAAAAACACAAAGTAAAACTGCTTTCCAGTCTTCCTTCCTGTAATTGATTCCTTGATTTCGGTTTATTTTGAGTTTCTACTTAAGAAGACCTTAATATTAATCTTTTACGTAGGTACTGGGGCCTTGAGTTTAAGGAATGAGTTCCACGTCATCCACTAAGTTCTTTGCTCATTATCCTTAGAATGTCAAGTGAAAAATGGAACTCTGCCCCTTACTCCCCTCTATTCTAGAAAATAAAACTTCATCATATTCCAATGAATTCAAATAACTAACCTCCATCACTCAGACATATAATGCCAGATTGTTAACACCTGAGCACAAGAACTAAGCATCACTTTTTGTCTTCTCCCATCTTCACAGTCCCACTCCAGCAGCTACATGAGAACTCAAGTAGAGAGTTTAATAAATACTAAGCAGGTAAGTGAAATCAGTACTTACATAGATTCTTAAAAGAAAAAAAAAAACTCTCTTACCTATGTTGAAGGGAGAAAGATCTATAAAGAGGTAAAACTTTTATGTCTTGTAATTAATGCTATGGAATTCAAATGAAAATCTCATACATCTTTATGCATATAAAAAAGATTTCTATGTAGATAAAAAAGACCTGAATATCTCAATAATATTCATTGTTTCATAAAAAAAGAGTTCTCTTTTTCACCCCAAATCACGTGGCACACCAATAGCAGTGCCTTCTTATTGCAGTGATTCATAACGGTAGGAAGGGTACAGAATGGAACTATGTTGACAAAGTTCTTCTGTGATTCTGACATATCCCCTTGGCAAGCAGTCTCCTTGGTTGTTAATAAATAATATAAAACCTTCCTATAAAAATATTACGATTTATGCTTCAAAGGAGCACATGTTTTTGTCACGCTTACTTGACATTCTGAGGAATATTCTGAGAAGCAAGC